TAATAAAATAATATAATAATATAAAAAGTTAAGTTAAAAATAAAACATTATTTATTTACAAAAATTCGGAGCCAATCACTACATGCCACATGTGTTAAGCATCTTGTCAAAAACTTCTTATGCAAAAACCGATTACTTCTTATAAAAACACTATGTGATTATTTTTTGGTTTTTTTAAAGATATAAGAGCCAAACAAATATGCCGTTAATGATGCTCTTAAAGGTGCCCTTAATGACTGGATTTTTTTGTGGTGAACTCATCTTCAAATAGAGGAAATCTGCTTATTGCTCATAGTGTTACCAATAATTGCAGATTACAATCTTATGTGGCAACATGTCATCCTTCTTGGCTTAATGGTCTCTTTATGGATGAAATATCTCATGCCTTTAATTGAACCAAAGTTTTTTTTGGTATACGCCTTTCCTTTGTTTGGAAATGGTTTAGTGCAGTGGTGGTTGGTAGTATGTTTTATCTTTTAGTCCTTTGACTGGGTATGTTTGAGTCTCTATACTCTTGTTATCTTGCGTTTATATACATACAACTATAGTTGACCTAAAAAAGAAAAAAGAAAAAGGTGAGTGAGATGAGAGAGAAAGAAGAATAAAAAAGATTTTTTCTATTTCAGCTTTGGGAAGATTTTTGGGTTTCAAGGCTTCATTAGTAAAGAGTAAAATCGTCTTTAAATATACCTCTTGTAGCAGGCGGGAAAAGCCTAGAGAACAAATGGCAATGAGTAAAAAATTTTACATTGTTCATGTCATTGCCAACAATTTTCCCATTAGATATTAGCATCGTTTATTTTTGGTTAGTATCATTTATTATACATGTTTCTATATTAAGTTTAGCATCGGTTAGTAAATGATGTCAAATATTTTATTAGTATTAAAAATAAAAATGACGTTAAATATTTAGTTAACGTCTATTCTTAGAAATGACGAAAAATTAAATATTTGCATCGTTTCCAAACTGATTCAAATTTTTAAGATCATTTAATTACATTTGTGAAAAATTGACACTAAAGATAAATATGTGATTTTTATATTAAAATAATTTAAAAACATATATATTTACTGTATATAATGGATTAGAAGTATAATCTATAAATATATGTGTATATGTATATATCATATTCCAAATCAAATCATAATATATAGACTAAACTTAAAAAGTTTTGCAGTATATAATTGTTCACTGTTCTTACGAAGAACTACAAACAACTTAAAGTTTGGAACAAAAAAGACTGAATGTTCATCAATCATAAGCAAAATAACATAAACTTGAGGTAATTCATATTTGAATTTGTCAAAATCTAAATGTTCATCAAGACTAACACAACGAACATGACCAGGCTGTTCAGTCCCAAATACTTGAGCTAATTCATCATTTGAATTTGATGTGGTGTTGTTCCCAGATGTGTTTTCAGCGTTTTGAGTGATCTTCTTAGCTGGTTTCTCCTAAAAGTAAATTAAATTATCAGAAAATTTAATCAGCTCAATCAAGTATCAGTGAAACGAAAATGTAAATGTAGGACGGACAAGCGTTTCTTCTCCCTTCTCTCTCTTTTCTTTGTTCAGATCTAGATGTATCTCGTTTCTTGGTGGCTTTTGATTTCCACTCCTTTAATTTTGCTTTGTAACACAGAAGTGGACCAGTTTTCTTCTCAGTCGACTGTGGAGGTACCTCTCCTTCAATGTGGAATGCTTGGTTCTCCTTCGGTTAGAAGACACCGAGAAGGAAAAGTGGTGATCTTTGCGGCTCACCCCGATAGCTTGGATTGTGGGTCCACGGCGAAAGTTGAAAGGTGAGATGGAAGGTTTTGGTGGTTAAAGGAAGATCCGTTTGGATCTTGAAGGCCACTGCGGGTTTCTGGTGTTTGGACTTTCGATGAGTCATCGACCTCAAACACCACCGCGCCTTGCTTCCTTTTGGCCGGTTGAAGGAATCGGATTCAACGATCTGATGGAAGTCAAGCTGGGAAGGAGGGGTTATGTCAGAAGTAGGTCGGCTTGCTTGGTATGGAACCGGCTTACAACGTGCCGGGTGGTCGGATGGCTGGTCATTTTAGAAGATATGTGGCGAGTCTGGCTGGTCGAGGGAAAAGAAATGGATGCGGGAGTCGGATGCTTCCCCTCTGTTGCCTAGATACCTCGCCCTGCTGCAAAGTTGTCGATCTCGCATCCGCCGGATTTAATGGCTGCCCCTCCGTGTCCCGGTGTCAATATGACATGAGCCTCTTTTCCGACATTGACTTTTCTCTAACGATTGTCTTTCCTTTTGTGTTTTTTGTAATGTCGAAACCCACCCCATTAAGGGATAAAATTTAATAAACAAAGCTCGTTAAAAAAAACTGACTAAATTTTAATAATATTGATTGATCGAGAGAAAAACATACGTGGGAAAATTATATAATATCATGAGATAATTGTGCAGCTTGCCATGAACAGAATAAAAAGTTATGTGGACTACCACTTTCTCCTTGGGCGTTTCCCGGCTGCGACAACCCCTTATGAAAATGACTTCTTTACCCCTCTTTTTAATCAGAGTTCAAGGCGACTGTTGAACCGAAGCGACACACCTTTTCTCGTTTCCGAAAAACACAACTTTTCACTTTCCTCTCCCTTTCAAAGATACCAAAGATTGTTCGATGGATAAACAGTTCACAAGGACTCATGGCTGGTTGTTAAGAGTATATGGTCATCTATGGTGTGTTATGTTTTTGTGAGTTTATGACTTCTATTTTCATTATCTTCTCATGCATTTTCATCCATTAAGAGCTTATTTAGAGTGAATATGCATTGAATTGTCTTTTCTAGGTGTTGGAGCATGTATCATGAAGATTTGAGCTTGACGGGTAAGTGTGGAGCAAGAATCTATGAAATAAGTTAAAGAGAGACCAAAGAAGTAAAAAGAAGAAGAGAAGTAGACTCATCGAGCTTCTACATCGACGTTGTCACCCTGATTCGAGTTTGCCGAAGAACACCAAATCTATCTGCAAATACATCAGCGTGCCACATCGACGTTGTCACCCTGATGCGAGTTAACCGGAGGAAACCAAATCTATCTGCAAATACATCATCGTGCCACATCTACGTTATCACCTTGATGCAAGATAATTTTCCACAAAGATCTAAGTTTCAAAACTGGGGGTCGACCCGGCTCTTTTTTATTCTCTATATGTGTTCTAACCCTAATTTCTAAAAAAATACTTTGTTTTAGGAAGAAAAACTCCTCTTAAGGTTTCCATTTTAGTTTTTGTACTGAATCTTGGTTGATTAAAGTTATAAAATTTGCTTTTTGTCTTTAATCCTCCTTAATCTACAATATCTAATCATGACCTCACAAAAATCAAACAAATTAGTTTGTGTTTCCATGATTATGAGTGAGTAGTCTCATGTAATTCAGATTTCTTTTTAAGTTATTAAGATTTTGCACTTATTTCTTTGATCATTGTTAATTATCATCCTGTCATCTTTAATATTACGGGATGTTTTGGAGAATTACAGGTTTATGATGTTTAGGATGAATTCTAGATCTAAGTAGTGTAAGGGTTCTTGAGGATGGGATAGATTAAGTGGAGAATGATAGTCTTATAGGATGTTTAAGTTGGATTCGTTTGTTTCCTTTATGTATTAGAGTATTGATAGCTAATTCTTCTCTGATCAAGTGGAATTAGATCAAAGACATTTAAGCTCCTATCAAGTGTTTGATGAAATGTCAGAACAATTAAAACCAGAGATATTCTTGATAAGCCTAAGAGATTAGATGGCTAAGAAGTTTATTGAAATTAATGAATTGTTTCTTCATGCCTGTTTATCACATGTTGCATCAAAGAGCTTTGAGATTAGGAAGTGCCTTAAACATGATAGTTTATGCCAAGAGATTGGAGTAACTAGTACTAGATGTTCATTATCTAGGGATTTATATGTTTGTAGTTTGTTAAACACCCTAAGTAGATTAGCATGCTCCATTTACGTCAATAACCTCATCCTCGGAATCTTCTATCCATTTGTGTTCTTTGCTTTATTTCATTTGTCATTTGCCTGTTTATTTTGTACTTGGTATTGATAATTACGTTTTTGTTTATTCATGGTAGTCTATGTTTTGCAACTTTATTTTATTACATTTTCAACGTGTTCACTTAACACCCTTTTATGTTTCACTTGACTTAATCATTTATGTAACATCTTGATTGCTAGCATCACACCTGATTGGATTGACACCTATTGTATTGCAATGACATGATAATACTTTAGGGTAATGATAGTAAAATCCTAGTATCCATTTGGCGTCCCAGCTATTTGGGTGTTTGTTTGTTACATTTGAGATTTCAGACTTGTTAAGATCAAGTTCTTACTCAACATTCACTATAGTTACTTACTCTGTTCTTTTCCTTGTCTATTGTTATAGGTACAACTCTTACTCAACTGGTCCCACTTAACCGAGACAATTGACTGTCCGACAAGCCAAGTTGATTCAATTGTATGCACATACGGTCGAAAGGCACAGACAACCTGTTTCAGGCCTACGACTATATTTATCGTTTGGTACCTGCATCTAGATAGTCACGCAACCAGAATAAAGTTGAACCACAACACGTGGAGATGGACAATGCACAACCACCACCTCCACCACGGATACCTATGCGGATTGAAGTTGGTGATCCACCACGCAACCATACCCAATGTCAGGGTATAGTACCCCCAGCTGTACAGAACAAGAACTTCTAGATCAAGAGTAGCCTGATCTCTATGGTTCATGGCAACAAATTTTTTGGTCTGCTTATGGAGGATCCCCTAATCACCTTGACGAGTTTGATTGCCTCTATAGTTTCACAATGATAAACGGCGTCAGTGAAGACTGTTTCAAGCTCAAAGTTTTCCCATTCTCTCTTGGTGAAAGCGTATTGGTGGGAGAAAACTTTACCTCCTAAATCTATCACCTCATGGGATCAATGCAAGAAGTCCTTTCTTGCCAAGTTCTTCTGGAACTCCCGAACTACACGTCTGGATAACGAGATTTCCGGGTTCACTCAGAAGAATGGTGAAACTCTTTGCAAAAATTGGGAGCGATTAAAACGTTATAAGTCTCAGTGCCCCTACCATGGCTTCAGCAAAAAGTCCCTCCTCAGCACCTTCTACATGGGTGTTCTCCTAAAAATCAGGATATTGCTTGACACTACAAGCAATGGCAACTTTCTCAACAAGGACGTAGATGATGGTTGGGAGCTCATCGAGAACCTTGTCTAATCATATGGGAACTATAATGAAGACTATGACAGAACCTTCCGGGCAAGCACATATCAAGATGAGAAGTGCAAAAAGGAGATGAAAGTTGTTAATGAAAAGCTGGACATACTCTTGATGAGCCTGCAATGGAATGTCCATTGCGTTTCTGAAGAAGACCTTTTTTAGATTCTAGATGTGGAGGAAGAATAGTCTGTGGAGGTAAGTTATGTTCACAACCAAGGTGGGTACAACAAAGGATATGCCCCGTATAACCAAAACCCCAATATGTCTTATAGGAGTACTAATTTTGCAAATCTACAAGATCAAGTTTACCCACCTCCACAGCATCAGCAAGGGAAAAACAAGCCATTTTTCCCTAACAACCAATGTTATATGCCAAACAACAATTTTAGTAAGGTTACCAAGCTCCAGCAAGACCACCACCACCATGATTGCAACCTCAAACAAGCTTCGCCTCCTCATGCACCAGATCATGACATAGTAGATATTACAGGGCCAAGCTAGTGGATCCATGGAAGCTGTTAAGAAGTTTGTTGAACTCAATCAGAGATTAGATTCCTCTTACAATGATATGAATATCAATATTGAAACTTTGGATTCCAAGATCAAGTAAATAGAGGGTAAGCCTGCTTCCACTTCTGCCACAAAGCCTGGCCAACTCCGAAGAAAAGTTGTTCAGAATTCTAAGGAGTTTGCTCACGCCATCACATTGAGGAACATGAAAAAATTTCCTCTTAGGTAAGGACCTGTTGATGTCACTGAGGACAGTGAGGATTTAGATGGGGAGGATATATGTCATAATGAAGATGAAAATATTAATTCTGAAGAATCAGACAAGTTACCTAATCAAGCTCCTCAACCTGCTAAAAAATACTAATACTAAAGAATCAGATAGGTTTTTCAGCAGGCTGAGGAGCATGATCAGGTAACTTGTCTGATTCTTCAGAATTAGTATTTTGATATTCATATCATTGTAGGAGCAATCTAGTCTCTGATTGAGTTCAGCATACTTCTTAACAACTTCCATGGATCCACTAGCTTGGCCCTGTAATATCTACTACAACATGTTTTTCATGTCATGATCTTTTAGACGAACTTGTAGAGGAGGATCATCTCAGGATAGCCTTGACAATGAATGGATAAGATGGTGTTTCTTCACGCTGAAACTAAGGTTTATGAGACATTGCTGGATACTTATAAGCCAGCTAAGGAGTAAAACTGATTTGAAGAGTTGAATGGCTCAGTCAAAGAAGTCTGCTCTGTAAAGGAGGAAGTCAGCTGCAACCTGATAAGTCACCCAACCGCTTATCATGTTAATATTGTTGCTAATGACTGGTCAGAGCTAAAAGCTCCTAAGGTTGAGCTCAAACCACTACCCTCAGGACTCAGGTACGCATTCCTTAAACCCAATTCTATTTATCTTGTCATTGTGAATGCTAATATGAACAAGAGAAATTATAATTGCTAGTGACTAAGCTTAGAAAGTATATAAAAGCCATAGGTGATATCAAGGGGATTTCACCTAGTCTTTGCATGCCTATGATCAATCTGGAAAATGAATCATATAGTAGTATTGAAACTCAAAAGATATTGAATCCTAAACTTAAAAAAGTAGTAAAAAAGGAAATTATTAAATTGTTGAATGATGGGTTATCTATCCTATCTCTGATAGTACTTGGGTATTCTCAGTTCATTGTGTACATAAGAAAGGAGGAACAACTGTAATCAAAAATGAAAATGAGGAATTGATCCCCCTAGGACAATCACATGACATAGGATGTGTATTGATTACAAAAAATTGAATATTGCCTCTAGTGAAGATCATTGACCTCTTCCTTTCATTGATCAAATGTTAGAAAGATTAGCTAAATATCCTTACTATTGTTTCTTTGATGGGTATAGTGGATTCTTGCATATCCCTATTCACCTAAATGATCAGGAAGTGACTACATTTACTTGTCCTCATGGCACATTTGCCTTTGCTTTTAGGGTTGTGTAATGCTCCTACAACATTCCAGAGGTGTATAACCTCCAATAGTCTGCTTGCATTACTTCGAGGTTGTCTCAACTTGTCCACGGAATTGTTCCTCTTTGGGAGAGAAATTAAATAAACAAGAAAAACAAAATTGGATTAGTTAGTTCATTTGTAGTTAACTTGTAAAATAAATTTTGAATGAAAACATTATAAAAAGAATGACTTTAACTTTTTGTGAAATCTTATATTTCAAATATAATTTAAATACTAATAATTGTATTTAAATACTTCAAATTTACAAAGAGGACAATTTTCCTTTTTGTGTTTACAAATACATGGTTTATTCCTTAGATGATATCAAGAGGATCTCAAATAGTCTTTGCATACATATGATTAATCTAAAAGATGAATCATACACAAATATTGAACCTCAAAGGAGATTGAATCATAATCTTAAAGAAGTAGTGAAAAAAGAAATTATTAGATTGTTGAATATTGGGTTATCTATCCTATCTCTGATAGTACTTGGGTATCCCTACTGCATTGTGTACCTAAGAAGGGAGGAACTACTGTAATCAAAAATGAAAAAGATGAATAGATCCCCACTAGGACAATCACATAACATAGGATGTGTATTGATTATAGAAAACTGAATGTTGCCTCTAGGAAATATCATTTCCCTCTTCATTTTATTGATCAAATGTTAGAAAGATTAGCTAATCATCCTTACTACTATTTCCTTGATGGGTATAGTGGATTCTTCCATAATGCTATTCACCCAAATGATCAGGAAATGACTACATTTACTTGTCCTTATGGCACATTTGCCTTTGCCTTTTGGCTTGCGTAATGCCCCTACAACATTTTAGAGGTGTATAACCTCAAACAAGCTTGCATTACTTCGACGTTTTTCTCAACTTGTTCACAACACTGTTCCTGTTTGGGTTCATTTGTAATTAATTCGTCTGATAAATTTTGAATGAAAACATTATAAAAAGAATGACTTTAAGTTTTTGACAAATATTATATTTCAAATAAAATTTAAATATTAGTAATTGTAGTTTAAATACTTCAAATTTACAAAGAGGACAATTTTTCTTTTTGTGTTTACAAATACATGGTGTATTCCTTAGATGATATCAAGAGGATCTCACCTATTCTTTACATGCATATGATTAATCTAAAAAATGAATCATACACTAGTATTGAACCTCAAAGGAGATTGAATCCTAATCTTAAAGAAATAGTGAAAAATGAAATTATTAAATTGTTGAATGTTGGGTTATCTATCCTATCTCTGATAAAACTTGGGTATCCTTTCTTCATTGTGTACCTAAGAACGGAGGGACTACTGTAATCAAAAATGAAAAAGATGAATTGATCCCGACTAAGACAATCACATAACATAGGATGTGTATTGATTACAGAAAACTGAATGCTGCCTCTAGGATTGATCATTCCCCTCTTCCTTTTATTAAAAAAAGTTAGAAAGATTAGCTAATCATCCTTACTACTATTTTATTTGATGGATATAATAGATTCTTCCATATCGCTATTCACCCAAATTATCAGGAAATAACTACATTTACTTATCCTTATGGCACCTTTGCCTTTGCCTTTTGGTTTGCGTAATGCTCCTACAACATTCCAGAGGTGTATAACCTCAAACAGTCTGCTTGCATTACTTCGTGGTTGTCTCAACTTGTCCATGAAACTTTTCCTGTTTGGGAAAGAAACTAAAAAAACAAGAAAAACAAAATTGGGTTAGTTAGTTCATTTGTAATTAAGTCGTACAATAAATTTTAAATGAAAAAATTATAAAAAGAATGACTTTAACTTTTTTGACAAATCTTATATTTCAAATATAATTTAAATATTAGTAATTGTAATTTAAATACTTCAAATTTACAAAGAGGACAATTTTCCTTTTTGTGTTTACAAATACATGATTTATTCCTTAGATGATATCAAGAGGATCTCACATAGTCTTTGCATACATATGATTAATCTAAAAGATGAATCATAAACAAGTATTGAACCTCAAAGGAGATTGAATCATAATCTTAAAAAAGTAGTAAAAAAAGAAATTATTAGATTGTTGAATATTGGGTTATCTATCCTATCTCTGATAGTACTTGGGTATCCCTACTCCATTGTGTACCTAAGAAGGGATGAACTACTGTAATCAAAAATAAAAAAGATGGATTGATTCCCACTAGGACAATCAGATAATATATGATGTGTATTGATTACAAAAAACTGAATGTTGCCTCTAGGAATGATCATTCCCCTCTTCCTTTTATTGATAAAATATTGGAAAGATTAGCTTATCATCCTTACTACTATTTCCTTGATGGGTATAGTGGATTCTTCCATATCGCTCTTCCCCCAAATGATCAGGAAATGACTACATTTACTTGTCCTTTTGGCACTTTTGCTTTTGCCTTTTGGCTTGCGTAATGCTCCTACAACATTCCAGAGGTGTATAACCTCCAACAATCTGTTGCATTACTTCGAGGTTATCTCAACTTGTCCACGGAACTGTTCTTGTTTGGGAGAGAAATTAAAAAAACAAGAGAAACAAAATTGGATCAGTTAGTTCATTTGTAATTAATTCGTACAATAAATTTTGAATGACTAAATTATGAAGAGAATGACTTTAACTTTTTGAGAAATCTTATATTTCAAATAAATTTAAAATATTAGTAATTGTAATTTAAATACTTCAAATTTACAAAGAGGACAATTTTTCTTTTTGTGTTTACAAATACATGGTGTATTCCTTAGATGATATCAAGAGGATCTCACCTAATCTTTGCATGCATATGATTAATCTAAAAAATGAATCATACACTAGTATTGAACCTCAAAGGATATTGAATCCTA